GTAGATACCTTGTTTGATAAATACAAATAAATAACAAATAACAATGCAAACTTACAGGTTGTGTACCCGAATCTTCCCCTGCTCCAAACGGTCCAAACAAACTAGGAATAGCATCGTCCTTCAGTTTCAAATGCTGTGCATATCCGGCCTCAAACTGGGCAAAGTTTTGGAAGCTTTCGTCTGTGAAATGCCGGTTCTTCGAACCTCTGAAGGAACAGTGTTAAAAAGAAATTTCAACCACTGACTTCGTCGTGGTTCTTCCGTTGGTAGGACAAACAGCTCAGATTTCTCCTCACATTTCAGGAAACAGGTCCTTGGAATTGGCATGACTGGATCGATTGTGAACTGAACCAGAGCTTCCAACAGTAAATGTTAGGCTGGAAGAGGGTGCGGCCAGCGCCGCTGGGTGTGGCCATAGCTCTTCGGGATTGGTCCATTTCGGTCCGGGTACCGCATGACATCATGCCGTACCCGGAACTAAATGGAAGACTCAAATGGGCAGTGACGTATCTCCAACGAGGCGTTTTGGGGAGGTATTTTCTGTGTTAGAGTTTTACTCGCTACAGGGTGTACTTTGAGGGTTTTGACTCTGCACACCGTTTACATAAAAACCTTCATAACACACAAGGGGACGGGTAATAACCGGAAAAGCATGACATGGGAGCTTTAATGGGACCGATGGTATCCATGACATTTGTTATTTTAGAATTAAAATGATCAACTAGCTCATTTACTGAGATGTTAGCATTGGCAATTGAGGGAGTAAAAATCTGGGCAAACATTTCTTGTGCATTTTCAGTTAAGTGACGTCTAGTGGTTACCTCTTTCTTAGCAATTGTATGGACGGTAATAGAGCTCTCAAAGAAAACACAGGAATGGTCGGAGAGCGCAACATCAGTCACCACAAGCTTAGAGATGTTCAGACCCTTTGATACAATTAAGTCCAGGGTGTGCCCCTTATTGTGCGTCGGACCCTTGACATGCTGAGTCAGTCCAAAATTGTCGATAACACAAAACAGTTCTTTAGCCCCTCTGTCCTCAGGGTTGTCAACATGGATATTAAAATCACCAACGATGATTAAACGGTCAAAGTCAATACACACTATAGACAACAACTCGGTAAAATCATCAAAAAAGCTTGCACAGTATTTGGGTGGTCTATAGATGTTTAGGAAAAGAAACATATTCAAAAGAAGCAAAGTTTCCATACATAGTCTGCTTGCATTGAAATAAGTCATTAAACAAAATAGCTACTCCACCCCCTTTCTTATGTAGTCTTGCCTGACTCATAGAATTAAAGTTGGGAGGAGTTGATTCTATAAGAAAAGCTGTGCTGTTGTTTTGGTCTAACCAAGTTTCAGTTAAAAATATAAAATCCAGGTTGTGCTTGGTGATAAAATCATTGATTAAAAATTATTTACCTGCTAAAGACCTGACATTTAATAAAGCCAGTTTGAGTGTGTTTGACATACCACCACTCTGACTGTTAACGATAGAACGTGGAGCACGTGGAATCACTGCAAAATGTGATACATTACATGATTGAGGATGTGGTGACCGAGCAGAAACAGCTGGGCTCGGAGAGGATTTTCTTGCCGGCTCAGGGCCCGAAAAGCTTCCCGAGTGTCTCAGCACGGCCTCTTTGAGGAGTCTACGACGTGAAGAGGTGGTCGCTGGACGGTATGAGGGACGCCGAGTTGACTCCACAGTGGCCTGGGAAGCAGCACAAATGCTGTCGGCTGCCGGCGCAGAAGTTGCAGAGGCGGTAGGGTGCAGATCTGGACGGTTCGGTGCCGCGGGAGCATCAGCTGGACGGGCCGGATCATCTGGACGGGTCAGTGCCGCGGGGGCATCAACTGGATGGACCGGATTGTTGGACAGGGCCGCGAAGCGGTTCCGAAGGCCCAGGCGAGGCGGTGAAGTTACCCCATTCAAAAAGCTCTTGCGCACCACTTCAGACCACGACTGCTGGTGGCCAGGTGTCGAGCAGTCGGAAGGCCGCAGGTGGAAGGATTCCACAGAACTGTGTCATGGATAGTTGCACTGAACGAGGCAAGCTGTTTAGACTGCACCGATGCTACCTCCATGAGACCGGACACGAGAGACTCTTTTTCTTTCAGCTTGTCAGAAAGCTGTCGGATATCCTCCTTAAGGTCTGTTATCTGTTTATTTGCTCTTTGAAGTAGCACATCATCCTCAGGGTGTTTTGATGGCATTCTTGAGTGTGAAAGGTTTAGTGCAATTACTGTCCCATGCACCAATGCCAAACTGCGTCAAGATGTTGTATAACCAGGGATGGCTAAATGTTTGTAAGCAGGAGAGCTAGATGCTAACAGATGCCAGATGCTAACAGGTAGTGGGAGCCTGTAAAAATTGCGACTGCCTCTATACAGCATCATTAGTATACTGTCTATGAGTATTTCATGTGTGATTGCAGACATTCTCCAGCTATGAGATACATGTAAGGCCATCTGCTAACATTGGAGTTGATATATGGAAACGCTAGCAACTTAGTTAGCACTGCTCGCACACACACAGACACACACACTGCTGGAGGAGCAGACAGGCTTGGCGATACAGCTAGAACAAGCCAAACTCATCCTGAACACACACAAACACTCACAGCCGAAGTAAAAACAATAAGTGTGGCTTGATATTGAGTAAGAAAAAGGTTTATAACGCTGTGAGCATGGGTCTGCGGAGAGCATTTCAACGTAGAAAAACGTTTACCCATTTAAACAGTCGTGGTAGATACCTTGTTTGTTTTAAACATCATAAATACACAAACAACAATGAATACTTACAGGTTGTGTACCCGAATCTCCCGCTGGTCCAAACAAAGTAGGAACAGCATCATTCTTCAGTGCCCTACGCTGTACATATCCGGCATGAATCGCTGAAAGGTTTGGGAAGCTTTGTTTCGTGAAATGCTGGCAGAGGGTGCGGCCATAGCTCTGGGCGTGGCTACTGGGTATCCCTACGTAGCTATACCCAGGAAGTAAACAATGGAAAATTAGAAATCTCCAACGAGGCGTTTTGGGGAGGTATTTTCTGTGTTAGAGTTTTACTCCCTACAGGGTGTATTTTGAGGGGTTTTGACTCTGCAGACCGTTTACAAGCATAAAAACCTTCATAACACACAAGGGGACGGGTAATAACCGGAAAAGCATGACATGGGACCTTTAAGAGCATGGTTCATCATACGACACAAGTGTCAAGTGACTAGAATAAAGAAGAAGACTTCCGGTCGACCTTGCAAAGTAAAAGTCGCCATTTAAGTTCTAGTAAAGTTTAATCAATAAATACACATACATTTTTCAGTATAAACGTTGCTAGAGTCCCTGGCAACGTTCATATTGTTGTCTCGCTTTGTTGTGCTTCTTCTACAAATAGTTTTAACCCTAAATGTAAATGTAGTTTCCGCTGTACTTCCGCTTCCTCCTCGAGCTTGACAGAGGTTGCCGACAGGTTGATTTGAAAGTGAGAGGCTCGGTGTGTACTGTGTACGTAAGTGTCATTCATTATTTACACGTTCTTACTGTTCATTTTCAATAAGGTTAGACATTGAAAATATAAAATGATGTGTTGTCAGGTTATGTAAGCGTGCTAAGGGCGTTTGGTTAGCTTTTATACATGTTAGCCTTTGCTTGCCTGCATGTGTAACCAGTGTAAGGTGGAAGCTAGCTAGTGTTAGCTTGCTACATCAGAGGAGAGAGTGTGTTTGCGGTCATGTTGGCAGCTCGTGAATAAAGAGAAAATACATTCTGCCCATGTGAAGATTAAGGTTTTATTGGCTTGCGGCAGTGTGATGACAAAAGAAGTGTTCCACGATAATATGGCTTAAAGCGTTGAAGAAGCCAAGGTTATCCAGACTGTTGTGCACAGTATGATGCTTCCTTCATGTCGAGACGTGATGCCAAACCATAGACTGTATATATAAAGTGCCAAACTCGAGATGCTTGGCTCGTGCTCATGTATCTGTGAGACTAGAGAACTGTACGGAAGAGCTTGGAAACAGTAAACACAGCACAACCGTTACCACATGTGGCCTTTGTTATTCAGTTGTGGACAGTTACAAATACATTGACTCTACCAAATACTTTACTTAAGTATTTCCATTTAATGCTACTTTATAATTGTTTACTACGACACCGCTGTTGTGCAATATGTAAATTGGAAATGTATTACGATTGTTTCTTGTAAATTGAAAATAGTATGTGCATGCCCGGGCCGTTCTAATAGTGTTTTATTTGATGTTGTCTCCATCTTCACCTTTGCTGTAACCATGTAAATGTCCCCTCGGTGGGACGAATGAAGGTATTCTGATTTCTGATCTGATAACATGCTACTTGATGCAACAATATTAACCATCTAATAATGTCATAATACATCACAAATGGAGGCTATTTATCTGCAGAATTATTACTTTAACTTTTTATACTTTAAGTAGATTTTCTCTTGATAATACTTCTGCACTTTTACTTAAGAATGTAGGACCTTTACTTTTAATTGAGTATTTAGACATGAATGTATTTCTACTTTTAGTCAAAACAAGTACTTTTGCTTTTGGTACTTTAAGTAGATTTTGATGCTGATACTTTTGCACTTTTCCTAGAGAGATATTGAATGCAGGACAGGACTTGTACTTGTAGACAGAGTACTTTTACAATTTATTGTTGCTACTTTTACTTCAGCACTTCTTCCACCACTGATTTGATTGACACCAAAGTGTGTATGATGGATCTTTTGAATGCCAAAATCATCTGAAATCCAGAGAAATCTAACATTATATTCCCTGCTTTCTTCAGGCAAGGATCAGTCCTGTATTGTATTATTTTGTACCACATCAGAGAACTGGAAAAAGTGATGAAATCTATGATGATGATGTTCTGCTCTCCTCAAAACGACAGCACAGAGCAATATGGCTGGTCCTTTGCTGTGTTCTAGTGACTTCATTGATATTCTGAAACGTTCTTCTCCCTCTACCTGTCTGCCAGTAGTCTTGAACTTGGATGTAAACAAAAAAAGAGCCAGGATTGGAGAAGATTTGTGTCTGTTAGTCACCGAGATGGACGTTGGAGTGTCCAAATCCCATGTGTTTCTCAACTACAGCCCCAGAGCCTTCCTCTCTCAGTGAGACACACATCTGCATGGTGGTGCTGTGTGCTCCACCCCCCCCCCCCCCCCCCCCCCCCCCCCATGCCCGCTTACCTCAAGTGCGTTCTGTTTCGGTGTGAGAGTTGTAGTTTTGAGCAGTTTGACACTACAGGCCTCCAAAAGGACTGAGTGTTGGCTGATGAATGGAATGGCTGGAGGTAACGGTGCAGTGTGCAGCAGCTTCAGTGCAGCAGTCCTGCAGGAAGCTCACTGCTGCAGTGTGGCTTTGTGCATTTATCAGATGTGCAGCATATACACTAAATGTTCAATCATTTAGGGTCTACTTTGTGTGTATGTGACTGCTTGTGCACGTTTTGCAGGCTAATTGTTTTTGGCAATTGAGAGAGTAAAAGCTATAACGTAAGAATCTCTTGCAGTGGTTCTCAAATTCCGGTCTCAGGACCTCCAGGGTACTTTGAGTGACAAAACTAAATAACACTCAGTTACACAAATGAACAACACGCATCCTCTCATGTCAATAGGACAGCATCTATTCAATTGGGAAAAGTAGATGAGATATAATGGAAGTCTGTATGTAATGCGGATGTTTGAGAACACTGGTCTACTGTTGGAATCAGGCTGGCTACTGCTTTCAGCTTTGTGCTGCATGACTACAGGTGCCAACAAAACACTGAGGCTTGTTGACACCAGCTAATAGGCTCCTGCTGATTGTAATTCACATTTTGCAATAACAGAATCCGGATTTGTTGTAAAGGATGGTGGGAGGGGATGAACAGGAATGGATAGAAAAAAGCAGTAACTTACCGGAGAATTGTAAAGGAGACTTGTATCATGTGTGTGTTTAGGTGGAGCATCCCACTGGGTGCACGTCGGGTTATGGACGCAGTGAAGGAGAGTCACAAGAGCCCCCTGAGCTCGGGCAAGATGGTGGCCCTGGCTGCAGGGCTCTCTGTCGGGGCCACAGTGGGCTACATGGTCTATCGCCATATAAGCAGCACCAACATCAGTGAGTGTTTATGTTTTCATGCAGGTGTTAACCTTTTTTCACACTTGCCATATTTCAATATATTCTGACAAATGTAAGAAAGTGTAGGATTTAGTGTTTATGTTCTGATAACCTGATCTGTGACTAACAAGGGTGTGCTACTCAAGGTCATGGGCCCAAGCCTGAGGAGTCCAAGATGACCGTTCCTGTAGAAGTGTACAGAAACATATCCAGACACCAAGCCAACTTTCTGGACGAGGTGGGTAGATCAATACCAGACACATATATGTATCTGCTCACAAAGGGTTGTAGTCAGCATTCTAAAGTAAATATAAATGGACATGTACATAGATAAAGGTTTTATATCTTACTGCTAAGATATGGTTTTTGTCATGTTTATGATGAGTAACCAAACAATGAATGATTGTATTGTTATGAACTGTGGTTTTTACAAATCAAAACCCCTTCTCAAATTGAGCACCAACTGCAAGTGTGTGTGACAATTTGCTGGTGATTGACAAGAGTGTGTGGAGTGGTCTAAGTGCTCTCCTGTGTCTCTCAGGTGAGCCAGAGGTCTGGAGCTCAGTTGCGGGTGTTGTCGGACCCCGGGGAGCAGGGCCACAGCCCCGTGAGCTTCCTGATGCAGGGCTCCCAGGAGCAGGTCCTGCTGGCTCGCTGTGTGCTGGAGAACCTGCTCAGTGACTGTGAGCCGCTGAGCGAGGCTCTGGACGTTCCTCAGACAGCCTTCGGACGTATAATAGGTAGCTCCCAAATGCTGAGGATTATAAGAGTGATTCCCACATTCAGATTCAATAAGATTCAAAGGCTGTATTGTCACATGCACAGGAGCTACAGCCTAGAAATTGCAATGAGAATCTTAAGTTCCAGGCTCCTCCAACAATGCAAGACATCAAAAAATCAAACTAATAAAAAAACTATACAAATAGTGCAAGAAATAACAGAATAGTGAGAGAATGTTGCAAGACTGCAGGAGGAGTGAAATATATACAAGTAAAGTAGAATAAGGTGAGCTAAAAAATAGAAGGTCAAATTAAGTACTATACAGTGAAATAAAATATTGCTTATTGTAATAATAAATTCAAATGTGAGATGCCAATAAATATTTCAGATCCTATCTAATGCTGTATCTATAATTGTAATATAACATTCTAGAAATGTAATTCAATATTCTAAAATTGTAATTCAACATTCTAGAAATGCAAATTAACATTCTAAACCTTTAATCCAACATTCTAGGATTTTAAATTAACATTTTAGACATTTTAAATTAACATTTTATGATTGTAATTCAACATTTTAGAATTTTAATTCACCATTCTAGAACTTTCAATTAACATTCTATATTGTCATTCAACATTGTAGAATTTTAGAACTTTAAATGAACATTGTAGAATTCGATTTTAAAATTCTAGAATTTTAAATTAGTATTTGAATTCTACATTCTAGAATATTAATTCAGCATTCTAGAACCTTAAATTAACATTGTAGAATTTGTATTCGAAATTCTAGAATTTAAAATTTGTATTCTAGAATTATAATTCTACCTTCTAGAATTTTAAATTAACATTATATCATTTGTATTCAACATTTTAGATCTTTAATTTCACATTAAAAAAAGAATTTTAAATGAACATTCTGGAATTTCATTTAACATTCTAGAATTTGTATTCAACATTCTATAACTTTAAATTAACATTCTATAACTTTAAATTAACATTCTAGAACTTTAAATTAACATTCTAGAATTTTAATTCAACATTTAACATTTTAAAATTAACATTGTACAATTTTAATTCAACATTCTAGAACTTTAAATTAACATTCTAGAACTTTAAATTAACATTCTAGAATTTTAATTCAACATTTAACATTTTAAAATTAACATTGTACAATTTTAATTCAACATTCTAGAACTTTAAATTAACATTCTAGAATTTTCATAATTCTAGAATGTTCATTTAAGGTTCTAGAATGTTGAATACAAATTCTAGAATGTTTAATAACAATTCTAAAATGTTGAATTCATATTCTAGAATTTTAATTCAAATACTAATTGTACAATGTTAATTAAAGTTTTAGAATGTTGAATTAAAATGGTATAATTTTGAATTACAATTCTCTAATGTCAATTACAAAAAATAAGAATGTGGAATTAAAATTCTAGAATGTTAATTTAAAGTTCTGGAATGTTGACTTAAAATGTTGAATACAAATTCTACTAGAATGTTGACTTAAAAGTCTAGAATTGTAATTTAAAGTTCTACAATGTTGAATACAAATTTTAGAATGTTAAGTTAAAGTTCTAGAATGTTGAACATTAGACGTTCAACATTCTAGAACTTTAACTTAACATTCTAGAACTTTAACTTAACATTCTAGAACTTTAACTTAACATTCTAGAACTGTAACTTAACATTCTAGAACTGTAACTTAACATTCTAACTTAACTTAGCATCAATCGTCTGAAAACCAAGGTGACCTTCAAAGTGAGACCTTGGCTTTGGATTCAAACACAACACTAAGATCCATTCACAGTTTCTTTGAGGCTCTGAAGATGATTTATGTTTGTAAAATATAATGTACTTTGAGTCTGATTGTGTGTTTGTTGCAGGCCGTGGTGGAGAGAGTTTAAAGCTGATCACCAGGACCACAGGGGCCAAAGTGTCTTGTTCTAAAGAGAAGACGCTCGGCCCTGGGGCCAAAGGCAAGGTGACGATTACAGGGAGCAGGCAGGAGGTGGAGCAGGCCAAGGTGAGGAGGATCCACTTATCTGAACTACCCCTGTGTGGTCACTTATAATACATATATAGCAACGTAACTCCTACTCTCATTGTCTGTCTACAGGAACTGATTCTAGAAAAAGTCAGAGAGGACATGATGGTGAGGACGAAGATCTCCCAGTCGTCTGCCCTGCGGCCGAAGCGCGGTCATACTGCTGTGAGTCAGAGGCCAGACAGCACAGAGCCTGAAGCTCCAGTGGGACTAAAGAACAACAGCCCCTGCTCCCAGCCTGAGAGGAATGGGCTCTTCCATGCTAACGGCACCAAAGGAGAGCCACAAGACAAGGTTCAGGAGCTGAACATCACAGACAACAAGGAGGAGGAGGAGGAGGAGGAGGAGGAGGAGGACAGTGTCTCCACAGAATCCCTCTCTGAAGTCTCCAAGTTTGAGAGTGAGTTCACCTTCTCTTCCATTTCTCACTGTTATATGTCCTTGGAAGCCGTTCAAAATGATCTTCCTCTCTGTCATCCAGTTCCCAGCCCAGACCTGAGCTTCCAGCCTGATGAACACCTCGAGGTTTATGTTTCTGCATCAGAGAACCCCAACCACTTCTGGATCCAGATCCTGGGGGTGCGTTCCCTTCAGCTGGACAAACTGACGGAGGAGATGACACGCTTCTATAACAGCGGCAACCCCACAGTAAGGACAACTCCATATGTCTCTACTCAGGTGTCATACCAAAACCAGTGAGCCACTGGAACTCCATAACAGAGACTGAGACATGGGAGAGAGAAGGATGCTGTGTCAGGTGGAAAGGACAGTGCATGCAGTGTTTTAACCATCACTGGATGTTGCAGAAGTGTCTGTGACAAACAGCTCCTAGGGGCAAATACAGTCCTTTCAAACCCTTATTGCATGATTTCCACCATTTGTGTAAAAAAATGGTAACACTTTTCAGAGACTTGTAACTCAAATCTAACCCACCCAAGACCAGACAAGATACACATATGTTTTGGCTGAAGATTCAAGATTCAAAGGCTTTATTGTCATATGCGCAGTAGTTACAGTGTTGTTATGGCGATGAACATCTGAAGTCACAGGCTCCTCCAACAATGAAACATAAACATATATAAGACATAAAACAATCAAAAACTGTGCAAGAAGAAACAGAGTATAAATGAAACAATGCACCATTGTGTTGAAAAACGATATACATGTCAAATCAAATACAATAAGCTACATGTTGAAGAGAAGGTTTTAAACCAAGTAAATGCACACGTCTATATATATATCTCAAATCAAATAAGATGAACAAAAACAATGTCAAATGAAATACTGTATACTGGAATAAATCCTGCTTATTGTAATAATCAATACATGTGTGAAATGCAAACAGATAAATGCTATGGACTTATGAAGGCCCTGTTCACTTGGACCCTCCATTTAAGAAATAACAAGTCACCTCCTCATTTTCAGGATCAGAGGGTGGAGACCTTTGTGGTCGGGGACATTGTGGCTGCTCCCTACCACGACCACGGCACATGGAACAGGGCCAGGGTGCTGGGAATGCTGGGCTCTGGAATGGTAGACCTCTACTATGTTGACTTTGGGGACAACGGAGAGCTGCCCAGAGACAGCCTCTGCAGAGTGAGGTGAGAGAGGAAGGTCCATCAATGACCGCATGTCCCATCACATGTTCCTGCTCTAACTACTAAATATATACAGTATACGATACGATACGATATTACTTTATTAGTCAGACCAAGTCTGACATTTGACTCGCGTCACAGCAGCTCCATGTCCAACACAGACAAATATCCAGACACAATACATGAAACACAAACAACAAACATTGAACATAACAGCACAATCAGTGAGAGAAAAGCCTTCAGCGTGCATTTGATCTGGGATCAGCTCTGTATTTACTGAGAGGATTGACTGGAGCACAAAGGAGTGCTTCAGTCTGACCTTATTGAATGGTGGGATCCTGCATCTCCCATTAGATGGTAGCAGTTCTTATTCACTGTTCAGAACATGCTTTGGGTCAGAGATGATGTGGTTAGACAGCCTCACTAGGTTGTTATGATAGGCTGATAGTATGTATTTAATGAAGATCCAAACAGCAGGGCTTCAGACTGTGCAGTCCAGACTACACCACCTTTCATTCCTGTCTCTAACAAGTCTTTTCAAACACCATGACGTGTTTTCATTAGCATGCCCCTTCCTTTGGCAGGAAGTGAGGGTGCTGTGCTTTAATGCTGCAAACAGTGCATATCATTGTTTGTGGCAGCAGTGAGAAATGGCACAGCCTCGTTAGTAACAGCTTTTGTTTTTGCTGCATTCATATTTCAGGAGTGACTTCCTCAGCTTATCATTCCAAGCTATTGAATGCAACTTAGCAGGAGTGAGACCAAAAGGTAAAGCTCTTCTCTTTCCTTTCAGACATATAACTAAGTGAAAGATGTGTGTGCATATTTCTGAGATCTATACTGATTGGCTTTCAAATGCTCCTTTCATCTTACTGTGGTTCCCAGGAGAGGAGTGGTCGGAGGCAGCGCTGGATGACTTTGAGCGGCTGACCTACTGCGCCGCCTGGAGCCCCCTGCAGGCCAAACTCTGCAGCTACTCACACTCTGACATCTCCTCCTGGCCCAGCGTCAAGCTCTACGACAACTCTGATGGCAAGGTCAGCTGGCTATTGATTTGTTATAGAGTGGTGCAGGAATGAATCCTGAAACCCGGAGCTGGTCAGCATTTGAACACTTCCAGTTCCTTCATCTTGAAGTCAATGCTTTTTTTAACATGTTTTGGTTAGCCTGAAATAAGGTATGTGGTTAACACAAGCAGAAGAAATGTTCATGTTTTGGAACATAAAATAGGTCAGTAAATACCCCACTGATAAATGTCTGAATCGTGTATGTATCATAAAGACAGCAGATGCTAACAAGTGAGACTAGTAAACAGCATCACGCCAAACATAAGCCGCCTTTAGCTTTGAACTACTGATTGCATTTCCGCTTCAAAAATCACAAGTGGTGGAGATTATACTACTGAACAAAACATGTTGGTACAATAAACCTGCTTTGACACAGATCTTATTTTCTATGGAAGAATCCCCTTCTTTTTGTCAGGGAGCAGGGCAATGCTACTTTCCTGGTCGGTCTACAAACATACACCATCCCTGCACCACTCTGTATCTGTGCTTACCTGTTTGCTCTGTATCTCATCATGTCTGCTGCTTCCTTGCACACATCCCACCTCTCATCCCACCTCTCATCCCACCTCTCATCCCACCTCTCATCCCACCTCTCATCCCACCTCTCCCAGACTTTAGATATTGGTGAGGAGCTCATATGGCGGGGCCATGCTGTCAGCTTCCAGGAAGCAGTGAATGGAAATATGGAGGGGAGCAATCTGGGCTGTCTGCAGAGGATGTTTGTGAGTTAGTGAACACACTCACATCTTCATTGGCCTCAATAACACTATTGACAACGGAAGTCTTATTCTTATTATATGAAACATATCTTTAAACTCATATCTGGTTTAAAGATATGTTTCATATCAGATTTAGTAAAAATAGGGTTTAAATGAAGATGTAATGGATACTAAAGTGACACGTATTGTGATGAGAATAATAATAATAATAATAATAAAGTGAACTTACTTAAATGTTTGTGTGGAATCTTAAACATTGTTCATCATCTTGGTGAGGCGTGTCAGCATGCTGACATACGATGATGGTTTTCATTATATAAAAGTCAACTATAAGCTGAAAGAAATGAGGTCATTTGGAGGTTGTTGACTCTGTGACTGTACAGAATTCATCAATGAGATATTTCCATCTTTCCTGGTTTTGTCCTCACCAAACACAATGTAGCCTACTCAGTATTGTCACTGCAACATGCTTTATGTTATCTCTGAACCACCTCTTATCCTCCTATAGGATGATGTGATAGGAGCATCCTCAGAGCTGAGTCTCTCCTGTATCAGTTTATCAGGTGAGTACGGGAACAGATCTTTGGGACTGAATCAATGATCATTCTGTCTTATCATGTACTGCTGTTCTGTTTTGGTCCACCCTTGATGGGCTTGGCAACAAAGTGAGGATTTGTCAAGTGAGCACAAGTCTTCATCAGGTTCATCTCCATGTTATCCACATATTCTCAAAACTGTGGAGCAACATCATGCAAGCATTAAACACAGGCCCCCCCAAACATGAATCACATTGTAGAGTCATCATGTTCACCCTCTGACACCAGCACTGTTCCTGATTCTCATGTTGCTTTCACATATTCACAACTTCTAATCAGATCATGTTGCCACCTAGTGGTGATATCTGGTGTCAACAGGAGACATAGGTTCAAGGTTCTTTATTAGTCATACAACCATAGCTACAGAGTAGTTTTGTCAATGAAAAAATAAGGACAACAAATGCACCTCAACTACATGTGTTTTTGAAGACGAGACACAGGTCTCAGCAGTTTACCTTTTCACTTTTACACAACCTAAACGTGCTTATGCTTTTATTTAAGATTTGCCTCTTTTATAGTGACGCTTGTCAAGGTCTATTTCTTAATTGAATTTGTGTGAAACATTTTTGTTTTTGTTTTTATAAATGAAATCAGCCATAGAAGATCAAGCCAGCCTCACAAGCCAAATGTGTCATCACAACAGTCACCATTGATGACAAGCTGATACAAGGAGCCCATCTCCACTTGATGTGCTCATTAGAGTCAGACCAGAACAATTGCTCCCATGACTTGTGTTGGGGGGGGGGTGTACCCTGCACATCAGGATTATCTTCACTTTCTTTGGATCATTTCCCCACAAAATAATATCACAAACAAATGACTAATCTATCCAAATATCTCAATCATCTGATCCAACAATGAATCAGAGCAAGCTTTCAGTGCCATTGTTCAGTACTAGACACTTGGTGCCATTTCAGTTGGTACAAATGTAATACAGTTTCATATTCGGCCTGGTCTTGCATGACTTCATGTAGGGCAGCAAACTTAATCGTAATTTGATCCCCCTTTTTATATTTTATAGTCCCAATATTCAAATTGCAGGAAGAAAAATGCATTAAAAGCTAAATATGTGTTTAAATACTATTTCCAAGTGATTCATGTGGAGCTGCAGAGATACCCACTCTCAAAATCCTTATTCTACAGACTTAATCAAACTAAATTATTTAGTACAGATCCTCTTTCAAAATCCTACCATGGTCCAATGAATATATGTTTCAATGATAATAAGAATAACAATGCATAATGATCAATCCCACCTTTATTGTAATTGCAATATGAGTCCAAATGATTGCAATGAGTCCTTTTTCTCCAAATGGTGCAGCCCTAACTTAACCCCAATGTATTTCATGTTTGACTAACTTGTATATCTGGAAATGATTCCATTGTTATTCCCCCAACCCTCCTATCTGCACTGTGGTAGATCAAACATATGATTGTTGATAGCCTTTAACTCCAGTGTTTTCTTTTTGTATCTCAGAAGCTGCTTCAATCTCGGGAAGTGTTGATGATGTCAGAGAAGAGGAGCTGATCTGAGACCAAAGACACATTGAATATCAAGGTATTGTTTCCTGGCTTGATGAGTGTTTACCTCCTCCAAAGAATGTATTCATGTCTGTAAAGGATAACCTGTCCTCCTCTTCTTCCAGCACTGACCGTCCAATCCTCAGCTTCAGTTCCAATCAGGAGATGTTTCCTTGTCAGACCCCAACCCAACCACGTGAATCCTCATTATCAAGCCTTACCAACAGTTCTTTCAGCTATGTTCACTTTATTCTTGTTACTTCAGTACAATGTGTGTGTTTTGCCTTGATGTTGTTCTGTTGTAGCCAACGCTGCTTTGCTTATATGTGTTGTTGCTATATTTCTTTGTTCAAGAAATGAAGAGAGGAACAGAAACAAAATGCCAGTATTATTTTCAAAAAGCACTGTGATATGTCCATGTACAAGAAGGCAGCTGGTTAGCTTATAATGTGCAGTTTTTGTTCTCTACTTGGTTGAATATGAAGAGGTAATGGCCTAGATATTAGGCCTTACAAGTTATTCTATTTTGAAAATGATACCATATTGAAGGATTGAATGTGAGCCGCAGATTGTGTTCATTATCACGCTATGGCATTTATTGTATCCTTAATATAGGACGGTGTTGGTTTTTCTTCAGAGGTGTGATAAACTGAAATATATAGAATAAAGGATTTATTTTATGGCACAAGTGTCTGAGTCTTAATTTGAAATCATGTTCTTTCTTTATTGAAACATTTCCAAATAAAACGTGATAAAGGAGACCCATATGTTGAAAATAAGAGCGTTTCCAACACTGCCTTTGCCATGATCTTAGAGTATAGTACATGCTCAGGCCTACCTGCCTTTGCCCAACATCTTTATAAGGTCATAGTTTGAATGTTAGTAAGCGGAGTGAAACTGATTAGTTATAAGTGGTATTATAGGAAACCTGCGGTGTCTCACAGAGAGATACCGCAGTATTGTGGTCAGACTATATAACCACCACGGCCCCTGGTAGACCCCCCTACACACAACACAGACTATTACACCCCTTGTTGTGAAATACAAATGATGTGCAATATATATGTATGCTGTTAATAACTGCAATATATACCTGGCTGCTATATCTTCAAAACTGTTACAGGATGTGTCTTTTGTAAATTGTGTAATTTCTTTTATTTGTTATCTTTAAAAACAAGTGATGCATGCTTCTTAGGTAACATTAAGCTTTATTTGGCTCTTTTCTGCTGTAACAAATGTAAATGTCCTCTGTGGGACGTATTCTGAATCTGAAAAACTTGTTTTATAATGAATATTCCCTCTGTTTATGTTGGTGTTGGTTTGATACAAGTGTAGTATAGATACGTATTATTATTTTATTTTCTGTTCGTGTCTACTAAATTGAACAGGCCATTCATTCTTTCCATTGTGAGTCCACTGTTTTGTTTCTGTGTGGGTTGATGAACTCCATTCCGTATTGACCAATCACATGAAAGTAGGTTACACTCGCACATGCGCAGAGGCAGCAGAGTAATTTGTTGATATCCTGCTTGGTAGTATTAATTTAGACTTTGGTATTTCAAAGCAACATTTACCCCCACTGTAGGGGTTTTTATTTGCATTTGGCAGCACAGTTAATAAGAACGTTATCTATATGAAGGGCTAATGGAAGACACAAGGGATTTGGTGAGTGAATATGAAACATTTTAGGGCCGTGAGCCTCTGATTACAGAGGATTTGCTTCGGCTAGCGCTGCTCCTTTGTTGTTATCTGCTTATGGTAGCTAGCTAATGGGTCAGCCAGCGTTAAATATGAGCAAACTCTCCAAAAAAACAAGTATAGACACAAAATAACACCACGCTTATTTTAAATGCATATGTTCATGTGCAAGTATGCTACGCAAATGAAAAGTGCGTTATGCTCTGTTGAATAAAAACAGGAAAAACAGGTTTCCGCTAGCTAGGTATGCTAAGGCTAGCTAGCATTAGGAGCTATTGCCAATAAGGCCGCCCCTTATTTTAGATGATGTGTTAGCTTGTTTTCTATTTTGCACATCTTACATTCAGCTCAGTGTGCGTTTACTGGCTGGTGCATTGTTTTTCTGTCATGATTCTTGCTGTTTAAATGATTTATGTTAGGATGCCACCTGTGATACCAAGAGGAGGAAGTAGACAGGCTGTCAACAGTAAACATTAAACCCCGCTCCGGATCATACACACAGTGAGCAAGACGTATGAAATGAAATTTAATATTCACTTTTTTTTCTGAACATTTGTTTTGTTACATTTTTTAAAACATTTTCTCTGTGGCAGCCTGATTCCTAGGTGACATTCCAAAGCTAATTGTATTTTAAAGAGTCCGCAAAATATAGCCTATGGAAAACTGTAACTGTACACACACCTAACGCTAACATTTCAAACACGACATTTTGAAGAGGATTCTTGAGCTAAAACAATTACTTACAGTTTGAAGCTAACATTTTGAAAATCAATGATCTGATCTCTGCTTGCCAAATGCAAACTTTCTGGTTTCCTTCAAGTTCTGTGATAGTCAAATGAATATATGTGGTCCTTGGACACAACAATAAGTCTAAAGATGTCTTTTTCCTTTTCACTATTTTCTGACATTTTATCATCCCAACAACAAATGATATCAGAACGTATTATCAAGACTGATGGAGTTAAATGTATAATTGTAAATACTGATGTTTATTGTAATGTCCTTGATTGTGAAGGCTGAACGCACCCCACGTTCAGAGCGCAAGCGGAGAGACTCGTTCGGGATGTTTGATGGCTATGACAGCTGCAGTGAGGAGTCTACCAGCAGCTCCAGCTCAGAGGATAGCGAGGACGAGGTGATGCCCTCCATCCCAGCCAGCCTGCCCATCATCAAGAACAATGGACAAGTTTACACTTACCCTGACGGAAAGGCTGGAATGGGTCAGTACATGGACATATGTTTAGTTGTGCTTTTTGTTTTGCTTTCTATTTTATACAATCCTGTTTGTTAGGAAATATCATTTGCCATCATGTTGTATACTGTTTATTTGACCAGATGATATGTGAATTTTGGTCTCTGTTTTACAGCCACTTGTGAGATGTGTGGGATGGTTGGAGTACGAGATGCTTTTTACTCCAAAACCAAGCGCTTCTGCAGTGTGTCATGTTCTAGGAGTTATTCCTCAAATTCCAAAAAAGCTAGCATCTTGGCACGACTCCAGGTACGGTTTTTCATAACAAATGAAATATTAAATGTAAGATTAAACCTGTATTATTACAACTATTTAACTCTGCTTTTATTTTGCCAGGGCAAACCACCAACAAAAAAGGCAAAAGTCTTACAGAAACAGCCCCTCATGGCAAAGTTGGCTGCTTACGCCCAGTACCAAGCGAGTCAGCAGAACCAGGCCAAATCAAAATTAGGTAGGTTATAAAAAACGACAGATACTTAATAGACAAACAGTGTTTCTCTGTGTGGTTACTCAAACATTGTTTCCTATTTCTTCAGTGGTCCCTGCAGAGAGCTTTGACTGGGGTCGGTATATCTGTAGCAATGACACCGTTGGGGCTCCAGTCAGCTGTTTCAAGCATGTAAGTAAAAACTGTGGAGAATCGTTGAGTTGATTTGTTGTTATTCTTGACTGATTAACCTCACTGCTCCCTCTGTGCTTCAGGCCCCCATGGGGACATGCTGGGGGGGCATAGAGGAAGGAGTGAGGCTTGAAGTGCCCAACTCTGATACCAACCTCTCCACTAAGGTGTACTGGATAGCAGAAATCATTAAGCTAGCAGGTAAGAACATTTCTTCAGATAGCTGAAGGACTTTTGGTTAATGGAAAGATCTATCCAAAAGTGTACCAGAAAATTCAGTTTCTCTTTTCTTTCTGTGCTTTTTCCCTGTCAAAAAGTGCTGTAATGATTTGAATTGGTTGTATCACAGTCTAATATAGATCAAAATATGGTAAAAGCATTAAAAAGCCTAAATATTCCCATCGAGGTTAATACTGTGAGCTGTGTGTAAAATACACACATGTACTTCTTGTTCCAGTGCTGATTGATTATGGCAAAAATAAATCACAATTATTTTGGTCAATATTGTGATTACAATTCTTTAACACTATAACTTCAAGCCTTTAGAAAGAACATTGTGTGCATTTCAAAGTGAAATGCATCAATCTGGTGCACATTTAAATCCAGAATTAAAAGGATAGAATATTTAAAAACGTTTGCTCTTGGAAAACTATTTAAATAAACACATTGGGAAAAAGTGACATCTAGAAAACATGGTAACCACAAAATGAGTCCCCTGCCCTGGAAAGTGTCAAGGTCTTGGCTATGGGTGTTGCAGAACTCACAGCCGGAGCCAGGGGCCACCTTGGCCACTGAACCCTCCAGACTCACCTAGAGCCAGTCCCACCCATACTGAGGGGCCGAGCAGGGCTGAAGTGACAGCTGTTAAGAAATGTGTGCACTGGATTTGTAACACTAGACACGGAGTGTAAGAGTTCAATTGTTATATACCCTGTCACTGTATTCTATGGCATTGACAAAACCACTTTACTAAAGCTGCCTTCACATCATACGCGATTTGCTCTTTGCTCACGGCGAGGTGGGGCGCAGAGCCTTGTGGTGAAAACAGCTAGTTAGTTTTGTTTCTAAAGTTACCCTGCTAGCTTGCACCTCCTCATACAGCTGTAACCTGATTGGTTACGTGTCGAAAGGTCAGCGGCAGTTGAGGTGAAAGCTGAAATAATTTGAACTTTGAGTGCAGCGCTAGGCGACAATTCTTTAGCCCCAGAAGAAAAAGGCACAGAGCTGTTTACCGCTGGTCATGTGAAGGCAGCTTTAAAGTCCATTCGTTACACTTACCATACCATATCATCAGCAGATTGATTCTGCTCAATTCTAATGGAGCTGCAAATATTCAAAAATTCAAAGATTCCACTATCCTTCTCGTCTTCCCAAAAATTCCCTTCACATGCTCATTGACAGGAAAAATGTAGAAAAAGCAAGTAAGGGGGTTTCTTGAATGGACGTTTGTTGGATGACTTTTCTTTCACAGATCAGGACTGAGATATTAAATGAACGTGTTTTCTGTTGTGCAGGGTTCAAGGCTCTCCTGCGGTATGAGGGCTTCGACAGCGACACCAGTAAAGACTATTGGTGTGATCTCTGCGTCCCGGAGGTGCACCCGGTGGGATGGTGCGCTTCGAGTGGCAAACCTCTTATACCTCCAAAAAGTGAGTGTTCTGCCTTTGTTCTGCCTGCTTCTTGAATGCCTGTGGTCTTATTCACTAAGCCATATTATGATTGTTACATTGTAATCTTCTCTACAGCCATACAGCATAAATACTCTAACTGGAAAGCTGTTCTTGTGAAGCGCCTCACTGGAGCTAAAACACTGCCACCGGACTTTAATACCAAGGTAAGACCCACCAGTGCCTCAACATTTGTATTAACTTCAGTGCCAATATCTTTAATACAGATCAGGTAGCTTATAGTGCTTTATGTCCATTAAACAATTCCAAATTTGAGAATGATTTGATAAAAGTAATCAGTGTTGATGTACATTTTCAACTGAATTCCTCTCAAAGGCATTTGATCTGTGATTGATCTTTCACCACAGGTACAAGAGAACCTGCAGTTCCCCTTTAAGAAGCTGATGCGGGTGGAGGTGGTGGATAAGAACTACCTGTGCCGGACACGGGTGGCGCTGGTGGAGCAGGTGATCGGGGGGCGCCTCAGGCTGGTTTATGAGGAGAGCCAGGACGGGTCGGATGACTTCTGGTGCCACATGTACAGCCCCCTCATTCATAATATAGGCTGGTCGCGCAGCATCGGACACCGCTTCAAACGATCCGGTGGGTTGGGAAACAGACAGTAACACTGAGGTTGTGTGTGTGTGTGTTTAACCACAAGGTATCTTAAGAAAGGCTATTTTCATATCTAGCAAAACTGGTATAATAAAGTGATATGCGACAAAGGCAGCAGCCAATGTGTTTCTGTTTTGCTGGGCTGTGTGACTTAGACCTGTTATTTTATTTTATCATATTAAATGTACTTCATATCATAAACTACTTTGTCAAATTTGAATTATTAAAATGAGCAAATTATAAAACAAAAAGCAGTATGATCTGCTCTGAAATGCTGTTTGTCCAGTGCTGCCCACTTGGAGAATCTTAAACACACCCCTGTGTACTCAGCTAACTTCTAGTTTAGCCCTATGCTAACTATAATGGGTAGTTAACAGTCTAACTTCACAATTCGGTAATATATAGTTCTTCTAAAATGTGTAATTGTTGTTCGTTATCTGCACTGAATATCCTTGTAGCACTGTAACTAAAAAGCTCTGTGGCTGCTGTCCATTACTGAAAGTTACACTCATATTTCATTGAATCTTTCAAATCTCTTCTCATCTCAGCTTTGATTGTCTCCAGTCTATAAATCATGATCTTCTTCAGGCAAGTGAATTTAATGTTGATTTATTTTTCAGATTTCACAAAGAAAATGGAGGGTCAAGTTGATGCTCCTGCACTGCATTTCCAGAAGGTAACACAAAACAATGAATTGATGTTTGGGGGAGTCCTACTGCTGCGTATTGAATTGATATGCAGGCATGTCAGTCTTTCAGAAACATAAGACTACCCAAAAGACACAGTTATTGATTTAGTTGTCCAACAAATATCTGACTACTTTCTGTCTGCATGTGAATCAGGTGAAAGATGTGGACCAGAGTGGGGATTGGTTCAAAGATGGGATGAAGATAGAAGCCATTGATCCCCTCAACCTCTCAGCTATATGTGTAGCCACTGTAAGAAAGGTAAGGCCCCACTAACATATCATGCTGTGTGTCAGGGAGGAAAAGCTTGATTGTTCATGTTGAAATGCCATTGTGGCTTTGTGTAGGTGTTGGCAGACGGGTACCTCATGATCGGGATCGATGGTTCTGAGGCGGTGGACGGGTCAGACTGGTTCTGCTACCACGGCACCTCCCCCTCCATCTACCCTGTCGGCTTCTGTGAAATCAACAACATTGAACTCACGCCCCCTAGAGGTACTGTACACTCATCTCTGTGTCTTTGAGCCCTTCATAAATGAGCATTTCATTCCATTATGACCACAAGGATATGGAAGATTTAAAGTGCCTGAATAAAACAAATTCTAGAGATATTTTTCAATACAACACACATGGGATTACATTTCTCATTTGTATGTATGCGTTTACTGTGTCATTATTAAATGAAAAAAACATGTTTGTCTTTCGTAAGTAAACGGTATGATGCTACATTAAAATGGAAGAAGCCAGAAAGCTCCTCATACAAAGTCTTGTCTGGTTGCGCAAACAGTTTGATATCCCATCTGTTTAAAGGGGTTTAAATGTCTTAATACAGGCAAGATGTAACTTAACATCCAGTTCATAGAAATGCCCCTGCGACCAGTCAATCACACAGATAACTGTAACCAACTTGTGTCAGTGATGAACAACTCTCTCTTTCATCCCGCCCCCAAGCTGTGATTGGACAGTGGATTGGTTTTTAATTTTGGGATAGAATATGTGTCTCCATTTTATAAAAGAACCTGTTCCCTTGCATCTCCAGATGAAGACAAATGACTTTGCTTTGCATATTTATTTGGGCACTTTTAATCCTCCATACATGGTCTCTATATTATTCTATAATCAAATAGCATTTGCCTTAAGGTGACGTTGGTAAGAAGTAGTTTAATAACATTTTCTTGTGTTTCTGAATGTCCTGGTCTCATCACTGACTCTGTTCCCCAGGGTACACTAAACTGCCATTTAAATGGTTTGACTACCTCAGAGAAACAGGTTCAATAGCTGCTCCTGTCAAGCTCTTTACCAAGGTAGGCTGTGTTCATGCTTTCCCCACTGTATGTGTTAACGTCGTGTCATGCTCAGGTCCCACTGTATGTGTTAACGTCGTGTCATTCTCAAGTCACATGTCTTCTGCTATTATATTTCTTGTAATTAAAAATAGCATCAGGGTTTTATATGCATCATTACATTTGATCAGCAGCAGCTGCAGGTCTGTAGGCTCCAGAGGATGGTGTTCTGGTTGATCATGTGACAGCAGTGTCCCCTCCTCTTCCCTCAGCACCATAGTCTGCTGGAATTGATTTGAGTCAATTGGTTTGAAAGCGACTTTTGAATTAGGAAATGGATGTCACGTTAATAATGCCACTGCTAAGGTCCTTTAATGGCTCCAGATTTCTTATGGGGATAAGCTGATGTGTTCACCTCTGCCTTGTATTTCTTTCCCTTGTTCCATCTGATTAATGGATTTAGAATGTATCAGTTCTCCTCCACTGTTTAGCTTACTAATGTTTATTTGTATGTCAATTCAAATAAGTTCCTGTTTGTCACTGTCCTGCGTCTCCTAGGAGATTCCTAATCACGGTTTCCGGCAAGGCATGAAGCTGGAGGCTGTAGATCTAATGGAGCCTCGGCTGGTGTGTGTTGCCACGGTGACGAGGATTGTGCACCGGCTGCTGAGGATCCACTTTGACGGCTGGGAGGATGAGTATGACCAGTGGGTGGACTGCGAGTCACCTGACCTCTACCCTGTGGGCTGGTGTCAGCTGACCGGCTACCAGTTGCAACCCCCCGCCTCACAGAGTAAGAACTTCACCCCCCTCCCTCCATCTGATAGTCCTAAAGGCAGGGAGCGACATGAATCAGGATAGCAGAGAAAGACTTCATTCTGTTAGGGTGCTGCCTATTTCTATTTCAATCTGGAGCAAAAGTTAGCTTTCTTTATGAATTGAAAGGCCAAATCTGCAGGAAAATGTTTCCCTTATACTTCCAACATGGTAGTATATATTGCATACTGTCACATGAACAGAAAATGTATAGCACATTTAAATCCAGAGAGTCACTGTATGAGTTCTGCTTTGTTGTAGCAGAACACAGAACAGACAGCAAGTCTTAAGTTGTTGAGAAGCAGAGATATAACAAACATGGACAAACAATCGGTGGCTAAACTATTATAAATCATCATACATAATTAAAGGGAAAAATAAGTCAATATTCTTTAGTTTAAGGTTTCCAAATGTTCATGTTCTGCTTTTCCTTGTCTTAACGTAGTACGTAGTAGTAAATTGGATTAGGACTGATGTTAGATAAAACAAGACTTTTAATGACATCGCCTTGGGCTCTCGGAAATTGTGTTTGGCATTTCTAACAGTTCAAATGAAAAGATTCCTTTATCAGAATCATTCTGTAAAAAACAAGGAGTTAACAAAGAATGACACTGATGAGTAAATGGAATAAGGAGGCTGCATGGTTGATATGTGAACAGAACTGTGAGGGCCCCCCTTGTGATGACAGATGTCAGGGCGTTCAGTAAGGCCAGTATTAACAGATGTCCCGTAGTAACCTTTGTTCTGGTCTTCTTTCAGGTACCAGAGATCTGCCTCAGTCTGTACCCAAACAGAAGAAGAAGGCCCAGCAGTACAAAGGCCAAAAGAAAAGTGAGTAATCCCTCTAGTATTTGTGTCTCCCACTTCCTTCCTTCACCTTCTCTTTTTCCTGTTCCTCTCACTGTAACTGGATACACTCGAGCTTGAAGCTCTGCCCGCTGTGTGAGAGATGTGTTCACGGGCCTCTTGTGTCACATTATTGATGTTGTAGTAGATAGTACTACTCAACAGCTCAGTATATTAGTGACGTATACAGATTAGAGTAGTTGTGAACTAGGGATGCTCCGATCGCCAAATTTGGGGCCAATCGCCGGAATCAGTATCGGCCGATACCGATCGCCGATCCGATCGAGTGGGCGGGGCCTAAATGGTAGATTTAAACATCACTTTAAATCTTCCATTTAAAGTGATGTTAAAACTCAGTTAATGGGGCTCATTCACTGGAGCTTCCACAAACAACAATCAACTTAATTATTACATTCAAATGAAGTACATTATTCAAGTTTACATTCACTTTGGATAATAACACGGGAGAAATGAGCAGAAGCGCTCTCTTTCCTCTCTCCCTCTCTCTCTCCCTCTCTCTCTCTCTCCTCTCTCTCCCTCTCTCTCTCCCTCTCTCTCTCCCTCTCTCTCTCCCCCTCTCTCTCCCCCTCTCTCCCTCTCCTGACAGCCCGTCAGTATCTCCTGCAGCTCACTGATCCAGTAATGAGTGACCCGACAGTGAAGAATAAATATATGTATAACTAGTTTAGCTTGTTCCAGAGGTAGATAAAATAGCTAAGTGTGTTAGGTCTAACTCTTAGTGTGTGTTCTGCTCCGCTCACCGCTCCGTCACAGCGGGTGGAGCTGCAGGATTTCTGCTTCACACACACGTTGCATACCGCTATTTTACTGTCTTTTTCGGACACCTTAAAATAATGCCAGACCGGTGAAGCCATTTTGGCGAGCTTGTTTTGCCGCGTACAGAGAAAAGTGTAGTGTATTTTACGTGATGCGATCGGCTCTCGCGATCTGCATGTTTAGAGAGGTGACCGATCGATCGGAGCATCCCTATTGTGAACACATGGCCTGCACACTGGGGTGCAAAGTGTTCTTCAGATATTCCAGAGCGAGGCGCCTGGTGTTACATCCTCATGAGGCTATTGCTAAAACACTATTTGCTGAACACAGGCAGTTTATGAAGAAATCTGTGGCTGCCAGTAGGAAAATGAAAATGTGATGTGTTTTTTGTGAACTGCCATGTTACAAAATGTATAATGGCGCGTTTCCACTACACGGCCTCGCTCGGCCCCGCTCGGTATGGCTGGGCCTCGTTAGGACTGGCTCACTTTATGGCGCATTTCCATTACAGTTTAGGAACTGGGGCAGTATCTATAGTAACGCAGTGTAGGTGGAGCCGTGACGTGATCTTCAGAGGACCCCAGAAAAACAACACAGCCGTTAGCTGTTAGCACTCAGAGCTCACAGCTCCTCATATATGTTCAGAAACTAGACAAAAGTTAAACAAGTACACACCACAGACTGCCTGTGTCATGGTGAATACAGTCGCTGCTTTATTTATGTCTGTATAGGCCGTTGTTGTGAGTGTGGACGGTCGGAGCATATACTGCGTTAGCTTAGCCAATCTCCATTTAGAAAACACGCATTTTAAAAGGTTTTTCCCCTGCCGTCTGTCTGCAGACTTGACAAAGCATTAATTCATGGTTTTTACTAACCAGTATCAGTATGTTGTTACTTCGGCATCATTTTGAAACGTGTATTACAATTAAATCACGGTCAAATATGTCCATCTTGTTGTAGTTGTAGCCCCCTTGCCAGCGACGCTCTCTCTAGTTTAGCATACTCAGCCCGACTCAGCCTCTTTGTCTCTGGCCCTAGAACCACGATTTTATGAGGCCAGAAAAACTGTGAATTAGGACCCGCCGGCCGGTACTAGGCCAAGTGGAAACGCAACCAAAGACGGGCCACTGACGTCACAGCCCTCTTAAACCGGGCTGCGGGCTGTAGTGGAAACGCGCCATAACACATGACGTACTAAATACATTAAAAAAAAAGTCTGGAAGTTGAGTTTTTAATTGGAACTATGAGGAATTAGGAACAATTATTATGATTGTATTACTTAACTACAAAAAACCTCTGGCACAATACAGCAGGCTTTTTCTTTTGAATATTTTGACTGTCCGATATTAAGTGGAGTTTGTGTTAGATCTGTATTTAGTTTTATTTCCACTTTCTAACTATGCCCTTTAAGCAACCTCCCTTTGCTGCCCTGCTGGTAAAGCTGCATCTAGATTACATGATTTAGGATTAGCCTTATATAAGATTATCAGGAGAGCACCCATTTTATGAGGTAACAGTGTCCGGTGCCTGAGAACACTTCATGTGGAGTTTCAGTGGGGACCTAACAGCCTCACACACACACCTGAAGGAATGGAGCAATGAGCCTGGGAGAGATGTATTTAGTGTCATATTTAGTGTCTTTATGCTGTAATGTTGGACAGAAACAAGAATCAAATGCATGGTCTGAGTGGATCTGCAGGGATCTATCAGAGAGAAAGAGAATAGAATAGAATTCCTTTATTGTCATCGCACCAGGTACAACGAAATTTAAAAAAGCAATCCTCGCAGTGCATTTCCACATAAAACGAAAAAAATATATGAGTACACTCAGACTTGCTGTTCTCAGGGTTAGGGTTACCTGATAGAAATGTATACAAATGCCAATCGATTTAATATGAAAATGGCTGCCACAGACTTTTACACATTTAGTTTAGCAGCTTTAGGCCTGTTGTTGGTAGCTCACAGTGGATACCTACGTGAGTCTGATGACAGTTGAATCACCATAAAGATGGACAGATGAACTCCGAGGACAGCAGCCAGAGGTTACATTCCATGATAATGTAAACATGACATGTGGTATCTTGTTTGAACTGAACCTGTGTGTAGCTAACCAGAGTGTGCTTCATGTTCAGAGAGGAAGATTCCAGTTGGTCGACGGCCCTTCAGTCAGACCGGCAGGAGGAGGAGCAGCTTCTCCGGAGACGAAGAGCAGAGCCCCCCCCCTTACCCTGCACAGGGGCCCTCTCGGCCACGGCCCCGGCCCAGAACACACCTGCACCAAACACACAAATCAGGTACGGACTAACGGGAGAGCCAGCAGGGCACAGAGCCTCTGAGGGCCTCGCAGGGCTGGAGCTGTGGAGCTGGCTCCTGCTGGTCATGCATGTTGTTTTCTTAAAACGACCTCATAACTCTTCTCACATGTACAATTTCTCATGTCTGGATTGAATTTCCACTTGAAGCATGAATATAGCATGTTTGTTTCATGAATAGTTTTTCAAATAGCTGACTGCGAGTTGGACCCAGAACTAAAACACCCCTGTTTGCTATCCTGGCTCCACAATGCTGGAACAAGCTCCACATTGATATCAGGACCGCTGAGAGTCGACATATCTCCCATCACAGTCTGATACACCAGCTGCTTCCACTGGGGGAACATAACATCATCATAAATACATTTCAAGTGGTTTCCCTTCTGTATAGAATATCTTTTCTTTATTGTCATTGTACCGGTACAACGAAATAAAAAAAGCAATCCTGGCAGCGCATATCTACATATCAACAAGCATTACATTAAAATATATATATGTATCTATACACTTAAGAAAATGTTTCATACATACATACATACCTGCAGGATTCTTGTTTTGAAGTGGTTTCTTCATGGTTGAATACACTTATTGTAAGCAGAGGTGGCAGAAGTACTCCGATCTTGTACTTGAGTAAAAGTAGAAGTACCAGAGTGTAGAAATACTGTGTTACAAGTAAAGGGCCTGCATTCAAAAATGTTACTCAAGTAAAAGTAGTGCAGCTAGTTTGAATGACTTTGTATACTGCAGGGTAGCTTGTGGATTTACTCCAGGTGGAACTAAAGTCTGATTTAACACTTGATTAGATTTCACATCATTCATCCACATCTGTAAAGTAACTAAAGGTATTAAATACATGAAGTGGAGTCAAAGTACACCATGTACCTCTGAATTGTAGTGGGGTAGAAGTACAAGGTAGCAGAAATACTCGAATCAATTACAAGTACCTTAAATGACACTAAGGTACAGTACTTGAGTAAGTGTACTTAGTTACTTCCCACCTCTGATTGTAAGTTGCTAAAAGAGTCAACTAAATGTAATGTAATGTCCCCTGCCTGCCCCCCCCCCCCCTCCCCCCTGTCTGCAGAGCCTCTCCTGAGGATGAAGGAGGACCCGGCGGAGGTGGACGAGTTCACCTTCTCACAGGGCACCTCGGACCAGGAGAGCAACGGCTCCGGCAGCTACTACATCAAACAGGAGCCCTGAGGGCAGGACCAGCAGGAGCAGGGGGCAGGACTCTCCTCTGGGACCCCCCCTCTGGGACCCCTCCACGGAGGATCAGGGAGGTGCAGAGTCAACCAGCCTCAAACCACACTCAGACCAACGCCTCAGGCCTTCATGGAGTCCGTACAGGAAATGACGAGGAGGGGGGGCTGTTCCAGGCTTCAGGGGGGTGTCCCCTTCAGGATTTCTCAGAACCGTTTTCTAACCTTGTAGCTGCACATCACTCACTAAACCTGGGTCACATGTTCGGGCATTCTCTTCGGACCACCTACGGATGACATCATGTTGTCTTAACATCCAATCAGATGAGAGATACTTGGATCTTTTTCCACAGAAATGGGAGTCCTGCGTGTCGACAGCCCCCCCCCCTGCCTCTGCCACACTGGGCCGTGCACAGAGACCTGCAGAAACTGTGAGAACCTTTAATTGAGCCAGGTCTTTAATGTTGTATTTCCGTTGTGTTGTTTTCAGGTGAGTCGGCACTGAGCGGCCGACAGGCTGGCCGTCACAGAGTTGTGTATATTTTCATTTTTTCCTTCTAACAATATTGCCAGCTGGACTTATACTTTGTTAATAGTACTTGAAGTTTTCTTTTCTTTTATATGGTAATGATTTTGGAGTTGCTTTCGTCTTAATGTAATTATTTAGCATCTGCATTTTTGGTGGCTGTGTGGGAACCTTAATGTGCATTGTTTCATAAAGTGATTATATCCATATAGTATGTGGAGACCTATTCAAATAGAAGTACAGAGTATAGATGTGACTGTGGTGAGAGAGAGATCTTAGTACAGTGCTGCTCAGCGTCACTCATATTGCTCTTTTTGATTTCAATTCTTACACATTCAGCCAGGAGATTTCCACAGCTTCAGAAATGTCTGATTCAATCATTAGGGCACAAAAACAACAATATCAATAAATCACAAAATCATTCATGGTAACACCTGGGATCCTTTAAAGTCGGCACAATGAAACAGATGATGTAAAACATCTACTACTATACTTTATTTGTTGATGAATACTTTGATATATATACACAGTCAGGGTTATTTCAGACAGATGTAAGGTGACACAAAACTTTGATTTTCAAATGGATTGTAAAATTGTTGTTAAATTGTAAAAGTAATCCACAATCACCATTGAATCACATAGATCTGGCACAGTACAGTTGGCTTTCACTAACTGTACATTTCCACTTGTGAATATCCTGCAGCTATATTAAGTCAATTCAACTCTTATTTCCACTTGTGAACTTTTCCAATTCCCCAGACTAGCACCTTCCCTCTGCTGTCCTGCTAGTGCAGCTGCCTGTAGATCACTATAGAGGACATGATCTAGGGTTAGCCTGGCATAAGATGATCAGGAGCACACCCATCTGATGAGGTCACAGTGATCACTCGCACACAGCGACTGCTGCTGAGACGGTTTCAGTGTGATGTTGAACAGGAATGCTGAAGCTGTGGAGATGAAAGGTGATCTGCAGGGTGTGTGTATCAGAGAGAAACCTTACTGGTATGATGGGTACACACTCTCACATGTTCTCACTGTCCACACTGCAACATGTACAGTGTGGATGATGTGGAGCCCCCCCTCACCTCTGTGCAGTCTGCAGTATGCCACAGATTTATAGACACTATCAGCATAACATGAGTCAATTCATTCATTCTAGAAAGCAATTATAATGCATTAAAAAACTAGATAGAAATGTATTAATACTTCTATTTCCTTATATAGATTGAATTGGATTTCAAAGTGCTATATCAGAATAGATTTCTCTTTAAAGAACTACCAACCGCACCGTGCCTTCATCTGCGGCAGCTCTGTGGATTACACTGTATGTTATCGATGGCACACTGATATTATATTCACTTATCACAATACATTTCTTTGAAGATGGAAAAAGAAAGTAAATGCATAATTGCTTTTCAATGATTGTATTGATTGACTCTGATGCTGAGATGTGGCAAACTGCAGACTATACTTGAGCCATTGTAGCATCAAGCTTTGGTTTCTGTCATTGAAAATAAGAGGTTGTCCAAATGGGAAATATGTTCAATATTTGATTAGGTTAATATGCAAATCCTTCATGTTGTTGTATTGTGTAGGTTGTTCTCATGTCGGAGCCATATGTATGCAAGCTAGTTTAGAATCACCTGAGCCACACAATAACAGGTCTGCCCATAATGAAACATGCACTGCTTTCCAATACTCTGAGGGCAGCCTCACATTACACCGCAGGATCAACAAGTGGCATAAATACATAAATACATAAATATATATATATATATATATATATATATATATATATTCTTCATGACTATGATGGTATGGAGTCCTGATAAGTCGGAGCTCCATGACAATATTCCTTTGACTCTTCTTGGAGCTAGATCTCTGCAGCTGATTATCTTCTACCTCCTGATGCTAGCCACGTTAGCTCAAACAGTGTGAAACAGACTGTGTTTGTTAGCATATGCAAATGAAAATGATTTCCTAAACACACTCCACTTGAAGACTACACACCAAACACGGAAGAATTTTATCACAGCACATAAGTCAGTCTTCTAATTTGAATGTTATGCAATAATAATAGATGGCATATAATTTTGTGAAATAAAACATATAGCACCGTCAAATGTCATGATCACTACATTAATATAATTAACATATGAGAGGATTTAACAAAATGCTATTGTATAACTGTGATTTTTGTGAGCGAGGGTTCACATACAGAGTACTGGCTGTCTGATTTAAATCCATCATCTCTACCAGTAAGGTTCATGGGGACATTCTCAGGAAGTCTGTGAAGCTCAGTCTACATCATCTGCGTCTGATGTATGGAAGCTAGGAAGTGCCATAATAATCCCAGAGCTTTGAAGCAAATGAAAAAGAACTTGTGAAATGTACCCACTATATGATACACATGTTGAAGCATGAATACCACTGAGTTCATTTATAGCAGCTGTTTGACCTGCTGTCTGAATGAACCTGACTTTAATTCCAATCTTTGTATTTTGATTTAACGCAATTCTTTCTTCTTCAAGGATTTATAAAATGACAATAAAACATTTTATCCCAATAATTTTTAAATATACAATTTATAGTAAAAGTCAGACTTTAATCTTGTGTTCATTTATTATTATCATGAACAAGATTTAAAAAAGAAAGAATGAACTAATAATTGAATAATGAAATGAAAAAAAGTTATTTCCCCACAAGATAAATATATTTTGAGATGTAGGGGTAAATCGCAACGTTCAAGCTGAACATATTCAGACTTCAGAGCCCACAATTCATGAAATCAATATATATAAATATAAATTCAGTGTTATTTAAATGTGACATTCAGTTTCAATAGTGGTTACATTTCACATCAGCTATTCATTTTCTTCATAGTTTTAATTATTATGGCGCTATTTGCTTCCATACAATTCAAGCAAAAAAGGTCTTATCTCACGAAGCATTTGATGTATTTCTGTTCATGTTTTGTAGCTTTTTAATGTCCTTATTCTACATCTGAGTGATGTGTGTCTTTTCTTGTCTTACTAGATGTGAGATTTGTTCACCACCAGTTTGTTTTGAAGTCTCTGAGCAGAATGATAGGAGCTCAGCTGAAGGCTTCTCAGACCAAATGAGCAATAACAGACCGTGTCTCACAATCATCGGAGGTTCAGGTTAGGATCTGTCACAGGAGTGATTCTCCATCATGTTGGAGGCAGAAAAACGTAATGACCAAACTGCATTAATATCTTAGTACAAGAGAAGAAAAAGACTGTTCTATGGACTAACTGCTGCTACCCTCTAGTAACCCTGAATAATCAAATGCACAATCAACACTGTTTTGGATCTTCAGTTTCTCACCTTTCCTTGTAGATATTTAACTTCCTTGTTTCCCCCTGATCCTCGATTCTAAACATGGAACACGTTTGACGTCCATCACGGGTAGCTGAGTGTTGGTGTTTGGGTTCAGTAGCTGGGATGGTTGATCATGTGAATGCATGTAGAGGAACGCTTTGTGCTGATGTCGTGCTGATGTCGTGTTTCTTTGTTGTTGTTTGTTCTCCAGCCTGCTCTTGCTCTGTCAGCAGAAAATATGGAAGCCCCTTTCCACCGAGAAATGAAAGAAGAAAAAAAGATTTAAAGAAATTTAAAATGATGAGATGCCAATTAAAAATGTGTTACCAAGGCAACATTTAGGCTCATACATACTTTGAATATTATTTTGAGTACCAAATACGCAGTTTTCTTGGTGTCCACGGACCACAATTATTGTTAAGTTTTTCAAATTTCGTAATTTTGACCCTTTAAAAAGAAAAAACCTAACCTAAACCTTTAGTTCATCGTACAACTTGGCCATTTTGGCCATCTCATAATTTTGATGAAGTATTTAGTCTCGTTGACCCACTTTTATCATTTTGGAATTCAGGTTAGGTTAGGTTAGGGCCACATCTCATGAAAAACGACATCATTACATGCTAACTGGCTAATGCTAGTTGTGATTCTTCCCCTGGTGGTGAGGGGCTTCCAAAGAGACGTGTGAGGAGCGGGCTGTGGTTATATCATTGTTTTTTTTCTTGGATACTAACACGGGTCTTTTGTAAGTGATAGCCCCCCCTCCCCTCCCCCAATTATATTAAACCATTATATCGTGGTGCTATATATATATATATTTGATAAAAATGACTTAATGTATTGCGATTAATATTGTCTGAAAATAATTGTGAGTTGAGAGGGTTATGGTGAAAATATATTTTGGATACAAATGAAAAAAAAAAAGATCTATGTTAATAATTATAAATCTATTGATATTAACACTGACCCCCGAGGTACATTATTAGATTGCAGTTTAAAGTTTGTACATCTTTTTGATAGTGTATACCATTTTTTCCTTTCATATGGTCACTTCGTGCTGTGATGGAGCTTTGATAGACTTTGTAAATAAAGCCAAATGTTGGATCATGTTATCGGTTGTGATGGATGGCTTCTTCGTTTACAAAATGTTTCCGCATGGCTGTGAAAGTTTATCTGGTGATTTTTGTAAGATTTGACTTTTACACTGAATAAAAAGGCTTATGACTTCCAACAGTGTGTCAGAGTTCATTCTGTGAAACACGCTGTAATCTGGACAGAGTGGTAAGTAACTCAGTACATTTACTCAAGTACTTTACTTAAGTAACATTTTGAGATACTTTTACTCCACTACATGTATTTATTACCTTTAGTTACTTTATAGATGTGGATTAATGATGTGAAATACAAGCTACCCTGCAGTATACAAAGTCATTCAAACTAGCTGCACCTTTACCAGCTTTGATAACACTTTAATGATCAATCATTATAAAACATATCATATATTATTCTGAAATGGACCAATCTGCATAATGAGTACTTTTACTTTTGGTACTTTAAGTACATTTTGATGATAATACTTTTCTACTTTTACTTGAGTAACATTTTGAATGCAGGATTTTTACTGTAACAGAGTATTCCTACATTCTGGTACTTCTATTTTGACCTGAGTACAGGACCTGAGTACTTCTCCCACCTCAGCGTACGGAGCTCCTTCACTGATCCTGGAACAGTTCTCCGTCCTTCATTCGGATTTGGTTCAGTAATCTGGTAATGCTCACACAGAGCTTGAACATGTCTGTCCACACTTTATCTGAGTTTGATTGTTATGATATTTTATAACTTTTAACTTAACCGAAATAAATAATTTTAATGAATTTTGGGTGGATTTGGAAGATTTAGGGGACTGATTATTTATTGAAAGATAATTGAGATTGAGATGATCATTTTCATCTTGTGCTCTCTATATCCATGGTAGCCAAAATCAGCTACAAATACAGCAACTTTCTGGTTAAAACTGACTAAATGTCAGAAATGGACCCCCAAAACCACTCTAAAACTGTCCAAATCCGACAAGCCATTTTTTTTCAACAACTACATGGTTCATTTTATGATCAAAAAATGCTGCAGCGTGTCATAAACGAGATAAACGAAAAACATAGTGTTTAATATAATACATTTGTCATTAAACATTCTTATTACCATGTTAGGTGATAAAAAGGTCATAGTATAGTTTGTCAAAGAAAGTGATAGTATAGTATCTAATTTAAGGTAATTTGATAGTATATCAGAAAACAAATCCTTATGTCTCAAAAAAGTAATTGTATTGTTGGAAAAGGTGATTTAAAGTATTTTATATGAAAAGTTATAATATATGATGTCATTATAAAAACATAGTTGAGATGAGACGATGAGGCATACTGCAGCTCATCTGGACCGGTACAGGACATTCATGTTTAATGTGCATCGATTTGAGTCAAACATAGACATCTCTTTGATGTATGAGGAGATCATCTCCATAAAGAACATTGAAGTGTATGAAACCATTTAAGGATGTTCACAGTCCTTACCAGTGGTCTGTGGTGAGTGTGGATCTATAAGACTGATTGTCAGCAGTTCTTTACTGAAAGATCTACAGGTCAGATTAAAAGCCGAGTGTTGCAACATTTAACAATACTAGAGAATGCAATTCCTGAAGAAATTGCTAGTGGGAATGCTTTATGCTGAAAAGCTGATGCTAAACTGCTATGCTGAAAGGTAATGTGTAAGAAGAAAGTGAAGAATTTAGATTGAAATGGTACATGAACACTGGGGGCTTGAATGTGTGATGAGAGAAGAAAAGAAAGTAAAAAGGCTTGGAAAAGCAGCAGAATATTTGAACTGCAAACTTTTGAACTAACTTGATGGCGAATGATCTGTCGCCATGCCAACGGCATTTGATGACATCTCATAATACGCTTAGATGCGTTGATGGCTGCATCGTTACCAAACCTGTGAAGTTTTGGGCCGTTTGGAGCATTTTCACTGAAGTTATGAGAAAACCGTGTTTCATGGCGAGCATTGTGTTGCCATGGCAACGGCATTTGAAGAAATGTTAGCACTTTTTGACTATTTTCATAGGAGTTATAGCGACATCGTGTTTTATGCCGAGGGATGCGTTTCCATGGAAACGGCATATGATGACGCCCCATAATTGACGTAGAGCTGTTGAGGGCTGGACCATTAACCATTATCTGAAGTCTGGTGCTGTTTTGACCCTTTTCATAGGCGTTACGACAACATCGTGTTTTTTTGGCGAGGGATGCGTTTCCATGGAAACAGCCTATGGTGAGATCTCAGATTTGGCGTAGAGCTGTTGAGGCATGGACTGGTGATATACAAGCAAAGTTTGGGGACGATCGGACCGTGTCCATTGGAGTTACAGCGACATCGTGTTTCATGGCGAGGGATGCGTTTCCATGGAAACGGCATATGATGACACCCCATAATTGACATAGAGCTGTTGAGGGCCGGACCATTAACCATTATCTGAAGTCTGCTGCTCTGAGCATGTCTGTTGGAGCTATGACATCATCGTGTTCCATGACACAGGTGTTTATATTTGAGCTAACGACGTGTCCAGAGATCAAAGGTTTCCATGGTGATGTGCAGTAATCAGTGAGAGGAGAGCATTTGCATTGTTCTGAATGAGAGATAAACCTCTTACATGTGAACGTTTTGTTGAAGAACCGTAACAGATATCGGTGAAATTTCAAAGCGTGAAGCATCTCAAGGAACTTGAGCATCTGAAGTGTACTTTTTGTGTACTTTCGGGTTAATAATGTGGCCTTTTTGGCAGATTAACTAAAGGTGTGCGGCTGCTGTGGTGGGGAAAGATGAGGCTGAATTTACAATGGAGTTTAATGGAGACATGAACGTTTTTGTCACTTCATGCCCTCAAGAGGCATTTTATTTAATTATTTTGCTTAATTCTTTTTAATTTTTCAAGCTACGAGATGTTTTCCTATGTTTCTCATGAAAAATTATGTCTCAGGAATGTAAGGTTTGGGATTTATGGCAGGTTTAAAAGAAAATATGAAGGCAAAATTAAATCTGTCCTCCACTCTAGCTGTGACATCACGCAATCTGAAGGCCTCTTTACCAAGGTCTGAACAATGTTTAATATCTCTAAAAGTACGAATCAGATTTAAAAGTTGTGTTACACGAATAATGTCAGAAAGATGTGTAACATTTTAAAGTTGGAATGAGGTTTCTGAGTGAAAGTATGAAGGAGCAGTTAGCAGTTGAAGTTGCATGAAGATTGTTCAAGTATGAAGAGTTTCTCCATTGACTTCCATGTTAAAAATATGATGAATTATGGGATGTATCTGTGGAATTATGAAATGTATGAATGAGAAAAGTAATAGCCATTGATTCTGACCGAGCTGAACGTTTTGATGTTTGAACGGAGTTTCTGCGATGTGGAATGTGGGAGAAGAGGTGCAAAATAACCCAGCGGAATAAAGAATTTCGTGCGTAGCATAACTTCCAACACAAAAGATCTGAACAAAACCAAGCTCTAAAGATGCTATGATAGATCTCGGATTATGTTGCTTTTCTCTCAAAATGTACATTTCAGACATTGAAACACAAATACAGAATGAAAAACTATACTTTGAATCACATCATTAAAAAGATACATTAATTAATTTGAATAAACTAAAGTGTACAGGATGATTTGGAGGTGTACGTCTGTGCACAGCATCTGTAAGGACGTGTTTAAAGTGAACGAGGATTTCCTGTTTCATAACTAGTCCTCAGGAGCTTAGAGCAGGACGAGGGACCTGCTGAACCTGAACCAGGTCAGAAACCACTGCGTGTTAAGTGTCAACATTACACTAGTTTGATTTGACAGCAGATAGTGTTGAAATATGTTGTTAAAATAGTTTAGCGAATAAAGCTGAAAGCTAGAGTCAAACCAGAGAAACAGACCAAGTTGCACGTCTGTCCTTAAGGATGGTCCTGGACTAATGCAGCACTTCTGGTAATGAGAAGTGGTGTAAAGTAAGTACGTAGGACTTAGTGAAGAACAGTGACAAAGGATGCATCAATGACATGTTGCTGTGACTTCTGAGAGCAGTACAATCAAACTATGTGTTTGATGACTGGTGCTGCTTTTCATTGAGATCTAAAGCCACCTTTGTGCACTTACAAGTGTTTGGCTCGTCATTGTTCATGCTCGCTGAGGGACGAGTCGGACATTAAGCTAGCAGCTCTGACCTTAGTGAGACCCTGTCACTTCACACATTTTATTAAAAGGTATAATTGATAAAAAAAAGATAAGGGAAAGCATGCGTCATTTGGAATAAAAAGGCCTTGGAATGGATAGTGAGATCCATAGGCATCGTCATAGAGATTAAGTTATACAGCATGTTATTTTAAATATTTGACAAACACAAAATAGCATTTTGAAGATGGATTCTTCAGACTAGTTCTAAAAGGTGCTGTGAGAGCGGCTCAGGTCTTCACTGAGCCGCTCTGAAAGAGACCCTCCTAATCTGAGATTATAAAACGGCTCGCACACATTCTAATCTAATCTCTCCCATCAGGATCATATGTACATTAGTGCTGTAATCCGACCAATGAATGAAGAGCCGTTGTACTGTGAGCATTTTATTGGAAAGCAGATCACCGTCAACAAAACCAACAGTTTCAGGTCACTAACTGGATATCTAGGGAATGATGGAATGTTTCTAATGGAATGACGCGGAGGAATGAATTCAGACTTGTATCCCAGTACAGCATAGTGATGATGATGGTGGTGAGTGGGACTGAGACATGAGTGGCGGTCCCCTCCAGGCTACAGGGCTGAGGTAGAGTTGCACTGAGTCTCAGTAGAGCCAGCTGGCAGCACAGCTGGAGTAGCTGCACAGATCGCCCTCCTTGAACCACAGAGAGATCTCTGTGTTGGCACTGTCCACCGAGTCACTGCCGTGGATGATGTTCCTGTGGGGGGTGGGCAAACATGAGGAAGACGGCAATACAAGGAATCCAAAGAACAGCTAATATCCAAAAGTGACATCACTTTTACTAGCTGTTAGACTATTTTGTTCCTGATTTCATGTAGTTTCCTTTTGCCTCTCACAATGCTTTCTGTTTTTATGACCCTAACCTGTGGAACTTTCACACAAGGTTATCTAGAATAATTGTATCATCTCGCCTTTTGAATGTATGCGTCAATCATTGGTGCTACTC